GGTCTTCCACCCTGTTCCGTCAGGCAGAAGATATAACAGTTTGTATAACTTATGAACAGATTCAAGAACAGCTTCTTCAGAACAGCACTGTAATTAGACTTTTGAATGGACCTCTTTAATGTTAATGTTGATCTCTCACTGCACCTTCTTGGCAGGTGTAACATTGTGTCCTGCACTCTGTTCTGTTACCCTGATACACTTGTATAGTACATTCTAGTTGTAAAGCATGCAAGACAACACTTTTCAGCAGCAAATTACTGCAGATGCTGCAATCTGTACTGAAAATGAAAAATGCTGGAAATTACAGCAGGTCAGGCCGTGGAGCAAGCTAACATTCTGAGTCTAGTTGACTCTTTTTCAGAACTGAAGTGAAGTGTGAAGGGGACATTATTTATGCAATAGTGTGGGTATAGAGTGCTGGGGTAGAAAGGGTGCTGATAGTGCAGATTAAGCGTTTGAATGTGAGAATGTCAGAACAATGGTGTGCCCAGTTGTCAAACTGGAAAGAACAGATGGTCCCACTAGAGTGAGGGGAGGGGAGGGGACGGGAGAGAGAATATGGTGATCGGGAATGTAACAAGCAAAGCTAAAAGAAAAGGAAGGAATGGGAGTGAGTTCACCATCTGAAGGCATTGAACTCAATATTAAATCCAGGAGGTTTCAAAGTGCTTAATCTGAAGATGACATGTTGCTCTCCTGGTTTGTGCTGTGATTTACTGGAACATTGCAGGATGCCGAGGACAGACAAGTTGGCATGCGAGCAGCATGTTGTGTTAAAATGACTGGCACCGGGAAGATCAGGGTCATGCTTGTCCGTGGACCGGACATATTCTGCAAAACAATCGCCCAGTCTGTGTTTGGTTTCTCCAATGTAGAGTTGGCCACAATGGGTGCTGTGAATGCAATAGACCAGATTGGTGGAGGTACAGGTGAAATGTTGCTTCACCTGGAAAGACTGTTTGGGTCCTGGGATGATAAGCAAGGACGAGGTGAAGGGGCAGGCATTGCACCTTCTGTGATACTGTGTGTTGGTGGTCACCGAAGAATGGACTAGGCTGTCCTGGAGGAAACAGTCCCTGCAAAACGCAGGCAGAGGAGTGAGGGGAAGATGTGTTTGGTGATGGCGTTCTGCTGGAGTTGTCTGAAATGGCAGAGGATGATCATTTGAATGCGAAGATTGTGAAAAAGAAGGACAAGGGTGATCCAATCACGCTGTTGTGAGTGATGGGAAGAGGCAAGAGCGGAAGCTCGGATGATAGGTTGGATGTGGTTGAGGGCCCTGTCACCCACAGTTGGTGGGAAACCACAGTTATGGAAGAAGAAAGTCATGTCAGCAGCACTGTTTTGGATGGTGACGTCATCCGAACAGATATGACATAGGTGAAAAAACTGGGAGAACGGAATGGTGTGAAGAGCTGTAGTCAAGGTAGCTATGGGAGTCAGCGGGTTTGTAGTGGATGGCGGTGGACAGCCTATTGCCTGAAATGGAGATGGAGAGGTCGAAGAAAGAAAGGGGAGTGTCGGAGATGGTCCCTGTGAAAGTTTTAGAGGGGTGGAAATGGAGGCAAAATTTAATAAATCTTTCAAGGTGCAGGCAGGAGCATGAAGTGGCACCGAAGTACGTCGACAACTATTGTAAAAAGAGTTGTGGGAAGAGGCCAGTGTAGATAGGTATTTCTGGGACCCATGTGTGCGTCCACTCCTTTGACATGGCAGAGCTGTGATGAATTAAAGGAAAAATTGTTCAGTGAGAGAACTAAGTTCAGCCAAGCGGAGGAGAGTGGTGGTGGATGGGGATTGTTCAGGTGTCTGGTCTAGGAAGAAGCCGAGAGCTCTCAGACCACTGTGGTAGGGAATGGAGGTATAGAGAGATTGGACATCCATGGTGAACACTTTTCACTGTACCTCTGTACCTCTGTACACATAACAGTGACAACTCAAATCAAAACAAATGGGGCTGTAATCAGATGAGAGGGGCAGATTGGGTAGTTAGAGGCAAATTTGGTAAACACAGTGAGAAAACTCATTCAGCCTCGCAGAGAGAAACCTTTAACAAAACTGACATTTAACCAAAAAATTACTAAAATTCAGCTCACAGGAACAGAAGTGATTTTCTAATTTTCTGTTTGTTGGAGTGAAACATAAAGTACAGATATATTAATCTGAATAGTATTATGTTCTAGAAAAACAAGACATACTGGGAAAATGCAGATTGCATTTTAAATTTGTGGAGTGGATGTTAAAATGATGGATTCTTCTGTCACTTCAGTGGATGAGCATTCAGCAAACAAGGAAATAATGGTGTGTTTTCAATCTCGATTATTATATTTTAATGACAGTAACTTGTTAAATTTTTTATTTAAAATTATTTTACATTAATGGAGTTGAATTTTTATAAACAGCTTAGTTTGCTGTTGCTTACTTTGACAAGCAAATCATCTCACTGATTAGGTTTTTATGGATGAAATTGCACATGATAAACAATCTTTCCCTTTGTGATTTTCATACATTGAAGACAATTGAACAAATTCCCTTTTTTATACAGCTATGATTTTACAATATCAACACTTCAGTGGTGAAGTTGGAATTATGCCTGACATTGATGTTGTGAGTCTACACTATTTGGGTATGGAAAGTTGTTGAAATGCAGTTTATCGAATTGGATAAGTTGATAAGTAGATAAGTTGATGTGTTGAACCTTCAGGAAATGAAATTTCAACTTGTACATAGAAATTAACATAGGAAAGACTTCTTGTGCAGAACTGGAAGGTTGTGTAGGCAAAGAAGTGAGTAGGAATAAACATTGATGTGAGCATGATAGTCAGGAAAATAAAAGCTATGTTTGAAACAAAAACGTTGTTATTTGAACCAAACTGAAATGTGATGTAAAATTTATGCTACAACCATTTTTGAAGTGTAATGCATGCTATATGCAGAGTGGTTCATTAAAACAAATAAAATGCTTCCTTTTCAGTAAGATTATATTAGGAAACAAAGCAAGGAAGAATTTATAGTGGATTGAACTTGAACACAAGAATCATACGGAAAGAGTGAGATAGTGGGCTGAATTTTAATTCTAAAAAACACAGCATTATGTCTAAAGATGTGCAGGTTAGGTGGATTGGCCATGCTAAATTGCCCCCCACTGTCCAGGATGTGCAGGCTAGGTGAATTAGCCATGGTTAAGGCGGGTTTACAGAGATGGAGTAAGGGGCGTGTGTCTGGGTGGGATGCTCATTGGAGAGTCAATACAGATTCAATGGGACAATTGGCTTTTATCTGCACTGTAGGGATTCTATGATTCTATATAGCTCAAGCAGCAAAAGCACTGAAAAAAGACATTGATGTTCAGAGGAAAGACAGGATTGTTACTATTGCTTTTTCTTGTGTCCTATGTAGGACTATGAGAGAGGCTTTATAAGAGCAGTGTTTAAGAAAAGCTTTAACTTTAAGAGTTTAGCTTTAACTGCAAAGGAGAAACAAAACTTGTTGGAAGTGGTTTTAGTTTTTGATGAAATATAGGAACTCCAATCAAAGCTACCAGAGATTGAGGCCCAGAATATTTGTAAATGAAGAAGACAAGATAGTTAATGAATACAGGGGGGTCCTGCTATAATGTGTGTTCCGGCAACGCAAATTAGCTATAACACAACTGACGAACAGGGGAACACTATTTCTAAAACATGAACTTGTGTTAGCTATAACACGATTCCATCAATGCGTGGAGGAGTACGTGTTGACATCATGTGATCATTTCACGGGCTTTGTCCTGAGCATGCGCAATATTATCCTCATCCTGGATAATGTGCCACGTCATCCTCCCACCATTGGTGAGCTTTTCGCAAACATCAAAGTACTATTTCTACCCCCACATACAACCCCTCTCCTTCAACCTGTGGACCAGGCTGCAATAGCAGCTTTTAAAGCTTATTATTTAAGGTACATATTTAAGAGGTTGATTGAAGCCACTGAGAGGGATAAGGACTGTGCTCTTCAATTTTGGAAGAGCTTTAACATCAAGAATGCAGTTGACATTACCATGGAGGCCTGGGGTGATGTCAGTAAGGACTGCTTTGGTGGCAGCTTCTCCCAGATTTTTTCAAAATTTTAAAACTTTTGATTCGTCAGAGGAGCTCCCACAAATTGAAGAACATTGTGTTGATCTTGCAAAACAAGTTGGATTTGAAGAAATGGAGAGTCAGGATGTTGAAGACCTGCTTGAGTCCCACTGTGAAGACCTCTCTACAGCTGACCTAAAATAAGTTGTCGCTGAGCGGGAAGTGGAAGCTGGAGATGAAGTAGTAGTAGTAGTCCGGGATGCAGCACCATGAGAACTTTCCACTTCTACTTTGTCTTCTATCCTGAGGGAAATTGAGGAGCAGTTGCAGCTCTTTGAGGACAATGATTACAACGTAGAACGCAGCAGAGTAGCGGTTCGTGGAATAAGATGTTATTTGGCACCCTGTGAACAGCTGCTTCATGAAAGAAGAAAAAGGGCAAAGCAGCAAAAGCTGGATGTCTTTTTTAAGCCAACCCCCATGAAACAGTCAGAAGACAATTAACCACAACCATCCACTTCTGGATTAACTATTTTTCGCCCTGACCCAAACCACAACTGCACCTGATGATGATGATGATGATGACAACCCTCAGCCCTTGTATTAACAACAGAGCAACTTCAAAACTTACTTCCCTATCAAGTCATCTTGATTTGTTTTTTCCAAGATGAGGTGTTAAATTTACTTTTATTTCATTATTAAATATTTGCTCAAACTGTGCTATCTTTTGTGTTAGGCTTTTGAGTGATCTCTGAGCAACTTTGAATGTTTTGTTTGGTGGTCTGCCCCAACCCCGCTTTTCCCATAGGCCCTGTTATTTCTATAGCACAGTTTTCTATAATGCACTGTTGTTCAGGAACACCAGCATCACTATTTAGCAGAACCCCCTGTACAGTGATTAACCTGGAATTGACTAAAGAATGGAGTCGATCATTCATGAAATAGAATTACAATCAGAATACCCTTTATTGTCACGTACACCAGTACAGAAGTACAGGAATTCAGTGAAAAGTTTTACAATGTCACCTCTTGTGGCACCATCTTAGGTACAAGTACTTAGGTACAGATCTTAGCTACAAAAAAAGAGGAATAACAAAGAAAAGTAGTTGCATTACTTTACAGTGATTCATAGTATAAATTAGAAATAAGACATAGTTAAAAGGATAGACATAGGTAAATTACAAATGAACATCACATTGCAGTAGCTCAGCGCAGGGGCTTCTACCTATAGTCTGACTGCTCACACCAGACTCCAGTCCAAAAACCATCCCCGCTCCAGTCTGCTTTGCACCAGCTCTCAGCTGCTCCAAAATAAGTTTTATCCGGGACTCGCTCTGCACGGTACTGCCCCTCCTTGTGCTGGCCACCGCTCCAGGACAGCTTCCCCTCACCGACCGCTGTTCTGGACTGCCTTCCCATGCCGGTTGCCACTCTGGGACTACTTCCCCGCGTTGGTCTCTGCTCTGGGATTCACTTCTGCAGCTTGCCAGCTCCTCCATTCCGCCAAGTCATTAGTTGGGAAAAAATGTGGAAAAGGAGGAAAGAAAAAAGAAAAAAGGAATAGGTTCACTTGTGTTTCTAACGGGACTAAAATTATTGCACTGTGTGCACTTAAATCGCTTTTTTGAGAAAGAAATTCCGTGGAGGAGAGGGAAAAGTCTAAACCTACCTCAGCAGCTGGTATAAGCCAAAGGGCGATTGTTGCAGTAAGTTAGGGACTGTTAATATTTAGAAAGAAATCCTAATACCTCTTCTTAACTAATTGCCAATCATCCAGCTTCTGTTCTCTCTCAAAATTCAAATTGAGTTTAGGGTTCAGTTGTATTCTGTGGTTAATGAGTTAGTGTTTTACTCTGCGTATGTTGCAAGTCTATTTAACTGTCAGTTATTTTGGCTAGCTTCTCACAGTGAGCTGCAAACTATGCGAAGTGTAACCGACAACTAACAACCTCTCGCAGCAAATATTAATAGTAATTATGCACACAACAGTAATATTCCCATAATGACAGTCAGTTCTAGGCTATTGACAAACTTAACTTTAATTTAGGTAGCCCTCCTTTACATTTTTTTCACTTTAAACAATTATTTTTATTCACTCGTGGGACACAGGTGTCGCTGGCTGACCAGCATTTATTGCCCGTCCCTACTTGCCCTTGAATGCTTTTAGCTCTAATTCTCAAAACAGAAATTCTCTGATTGCCATTTCAGATTTCCAGTTGTCCAGCTGTAAGCTTATCTGCTTTAATTGCAAGAAGAGGATCTCATTAGTGAGTTGCAAAAAGTTTATTTTCAAGTATTAATGTCTTATTGTTATCTAATCTCTCCTCATTTATAATGTAGGTTTTTTTCTCCCCCAAGCAGTGAAGATAAATTCTTCACTGCCAGAATGAAAGTCTGAGTGGGGTACCTACCAACTCCATGTTGCCACTTGTTTCTCTAGACCTCCATGTAGGCCAGCATTCCCCAACATTTTAAGGCATGTTCCATGTGCAGCAACCAGCTTCATCCTTCACCCACTGGACATGCAGCAGCCTCGCCACATCACCATGACATGTTTCTGACTCACTTAGGATACAGTTTGCCACATCAGTATTGCTTTTCGGATCGTAGTGACACCTTTCATTGCAATGCTGCTGCCAGGCCACTTTGCATGCAGGTCAGGCACCCATCTCATGGATCAAAACAGGGTTCATCTTCAGGCTGAAATAACAAGGTGTAGAGCTGGATGAACACAGCAATTTGATGTCTTGCATCATTTGCTGTGCACATACTTGAATGCTAATTGCACCTCTGCCTTGCCTTTTTGCATGTTGCTACTTCATTTAGAAGTTGAAGGCTCACAGCACTTCTGTCTTGTTTTGCCTTTTAATATAGATATAAAGTAAGATAGTAGCTTGTCGTAGTTGCCAGCAACAATCAGTCTAGAGGAGTACTACTGATTGAGCTGGTCGGGTCCTAAAGGACATAGCTGCTAGACTGAGTCCGCGGCAGTTGGTGAGGGAACCAACAAGAGGGAAGAACGTATTTGACCTTATCCTTATCAATCTGCCAGCTGCAGATGCCTCTGTCCATGACTGTATTGGTAAGAGCAGCTGCTGCAAATTACCACCTTTACGGAGATGAAGTCCTGCCTTCAAATTGAGAATAACCTCCATTATGTTGTGTGGCACTATCACCGTACTAAATGGGACAGACTGCGATCAGATCTAGCGACTCAAGACTGGGCATTCATGAGGCACTGTGGGCCATCAGCAGCAGAAATCTACTCCAGCACAGTTACGGCCTCACCTCATGGCCTGGCATATCCCCCACTCAGCCGTTGCCATCAAGCCAGGGGATCACCCCTAGTTCGATGGAGTGCAGGAGGTTATGCCAGGAGCAGCACCATGCATACCTGAAGATGAGGTGTCAACCTGGTGGTGCCACCAAACAAAACTACTTGCAAGTCAAACAGCATAAGCAGCAAGTGTTAGACAGAGCCAAGCGATCCCACAACCACTGGGTCCGCTCTAAGCTCTGCAGTTCTGTCACATTCAGTCGTGAATCGTGGTGAACAATTCAACAACTCACTGGAGGAGGAGGCACCACAAATATCCCTATCCTCAATGATGGAAGAGCCCAGCACATTAGTTTCAAAGATAAGGTTGAAGCATTTCCCAGAAGTGCTGACTGATGTATCTCTGCCTTCTGCAGTGGTCCCCAACATTACAGATACGAAAGGTTAGAAGTGGGAATGTTCACTGTGCAATCATGAATGTTCAGCACCATTTGCGACTTCCCAGGTACTGAAGCAGTCCATGTTCAAATGCAGCAAGTTCTGGACAATATCCAGCCTTGGGCTAACAAGTGGCAAGTAACATTCGCACTACACAAATCTGGAATTAAGAATCTAATAATGACCATGAATCCATTGCTGATTGTCGGAAGAACCCATCTGATTCACTAATGTCCTTTTAGGGAAGGAAACTGCCATCCTTACCTGGGCTGGCCTACATGTGACTCCAGACCCACAGCAATGTGGTTGACTCTGAACTGCCTTCTGGGCAATTGGAGATGGGTGATAAATGCTGCCTAGCCAGCAATGCCGTCATCCCATTAATGAATAAGAAATATAACATAAATGCCAGGCTATGACCATCATGATTGAGACAATCTAACTACTGCCCCTTGACATTCAATGGTGTTACCATCACTGAATCCCCCACTATCAACATCCTGGGGGTTATCATTGACCAAAAACTCAACAGGATTCACCACATAAACACAGTGGCTACAAGAGCAGGTCAGAGGCTAGGAATACTGCGGTGAGTAACTCACTCCTGACTCTCCAAAATCCACCATCTACAAAGCCACAAGTCAGGAGTGTGATGGAAAGCTCCCTACTTGCCTGGATGAGTGCAGCTGCAACAACACTCAAGAAGCTTGACACCATCCTGGCAAAGCAACCCAGTTGATTGGCAGTACATCCACTCCTTCCACCACCGACGTTCCGTAGCAGGAGTGTTTACTATCTACAAAATGCATTGTAGAGATTCACCAAAGACCCTTAGACTGCATCTTCCAAACCCATGACCACTTCTTCTAAAAGGACAAGTGCAGCAGATACATGGGAACACACCACCTGCAAGTTCCCCTCCAAGCCACTCACCATCCTGACTTGGAAATGTTTCGCTTTTTCTTCATTGTTACTGGGTAAAAATCCTGGAATTGCCTCCTTAATGGCATTGTGGGTTAACCCACAGCAGGTAGACTGCAGCGGTTCAAAAAGGCAGCTCACCACCACCTTCTCAAGGGCAACTAGGGACAGGCAATAAATGTTGGCCAGCCAGCAATGCCCATATCCCACAAATGAGTTCAGAAAAGGACATGTGGCTATTTACCATCTTGCTGCATCTCCTCCAAATAAGTGAGGCTCGGTGCTGCCACAGACTGTGAATGTCGTGGGACAGTATTGAAGAATTGTACCATCTGCTGGAGCAGGTCTTGCAAACTGAAGGTGTGGTTGGCCATCCTATCCTGGTGGCTGTCACTAAATCTTATTGCAACTGGTTGCTTCCAAGGATCCACTAGAGATCTGTGTGGGATCTCTCCATCATCAACATATAAATATGTCAAGGCTTTTAATGACACTGTTTGTGCTAGATCATCTTATTCTCTTGTGATGAGGTCAATGTTGTAAACTGGTCAATAGGATTGACCAACATAGCTGGCTTCCCTGAGATATGGAAGTGCCAGTGTTGAACTGGGGTGGACAAAGTCAGAAGTCACACGACACCAGGTTATAGTCCAACAGGTATATTTGAAATCACAAGCTTTCAGAGCGTAACCCCTCCATCAGGTGAAGTGAGAGAGAAGCACACAGAACACAGAATTTATGGGCAGAGAAAGACCAAGGGCAGAGAGATCAAAAGGCCACACAAATAGTGTAAGTGGAGTGCCAAATAATAAATCTCTACATGTGATCTGAAGTGTTAAATAGTGTGAGGAAAGTGTCAACAGCTGAATAACAAACAAAGGGATGACCTATAATTTGATTAAATGAGGCAGGGAAATAATTACAAAAACTTAATTATGACGTGGTGCTGGAGACAAACCAAATGACTGGAATAACATGATAGGTATAACAGTCATATGCCGAGGGTCTAACCAAAGTAACAAGTAATCCAAAACTGTGCAAACTAATTAAGGTAGAGAGATCATAACAATTTATCCAGGTGATGGTGACAAAACAGGACAGTAAGGAAGATTTAACATATACAGAACAGTATTAAGGGGTCACATGTAGTGTGACATGATCCCAAGATCGCAGTTGAGGCTGTCATGGGTATGGAACTTGGCTATCAGTTTCAGCTCAGCGATACTGCATTGTTGTGTATCTTGAAGGCCGCCTTGGAGGACGCTTACCTGAAGATCCGAGGCTGATTGTCCTTGACTGCTGAAGTGTTCCCTGACTGGGAGGGAACATTCCTGTCTGGTGATTGCTGCGTGGTGTCCATTCATCAGTTGTCATAGCATCTGCATGGTCTTACCAATATACCATGCCTTGGTGCATCCTTGCCTGTGGCATATGAGAGAGACAACATTGACTGAGTCACATGAGTATCTGCCATGTACGTGATGGGTGGTGTTCCCACGTGATGAAGGCGGCTTCAACTGTGATCTTGGGTTCGTGTCGTGCTACATGTGACTCCACCACACTTCTGTGTGTAAAATCTTCCTCACTGTCCTGTTTTGTCACCATCACCTGGATAAATTGTTATGATCTCTCTACCTTAATTAGTTTGCACGGTTTTGGATTACTTGTTACTTTGGTTAGACCCTCGGCATATGACTGTTATACCTACCATGTTATTCCAGTCACCTGGTTTGTCTCCTGCACCACCTTATTTTTAATTTTTTGTAATTATCTCCCTGCTTCATTTATTTGGATTATAGGTCATCCCTTCGCTTGTTATTCAGCTGTTGACACTTTCCTCACACACTGTCTAACAATTCAGATCACCTGCAGGGACTTATTATTCGCACTCCATTCATACCATTTGTATAGTCTTTTGATCTTTGCCCTTGATCTATCTCTGCCCATAAATTCTGTGTTCTGTGTGCTTCTCTCTCACTTTACTTGATGAAGGGGCAATGCTCTGAAAGCTTGTGATTCCAAATAAACCTGTTGGACTATAACCTGGTGTTGTGTGACTTCTGACTTTGGCTTCCTCAAGGTTCAGGGCGCTATAGGCTGTACATATCTCATATTGAAAGCGCCATATCATAACATACAGTAGCCTCATGGTAATATTGCTGGATTAGTGATTCAGAGCATCTACCTGCAACTTCAGAGATCTAGGTTCAATTTCAACCATGGCACATAATAAAATTTGGATTTAAAAGAAAGTCATAATTCGATGATTTGCAGGTAGTTTAGGGGTGGCATAATTGCTCAGTGGTTAACTGCCTCTCAGTGCTAGCAGCACTGGTTCGATTCCAGTCTTGTGTGACTGTGTGGAGTTTTCACATTCTCCCCATGTTTATGTGCATTTCCCATAGTGCAAAGATGTGCAGGTTAGGTGGATTATAGCAATGGTTATTGTGGGCTTATGGAGATAGGGCAGGGGTCTGAGTGGGATGCTCTTTTAAAAGGTCAGTGCAGACCCAACGGGTCTGAGATGAGCAGTGGAGAATTGCATGTGATAACTGCCTAAAACTCACGAGGGAAAACCTCATGAAACTGCTGGAAATTGATACATGATTGGTTTTGTGGTATTATTCAGCCCCAATTCCTAAAGTTAAAATGCATATACTGAAATATGATCCTGTCACTAGACATTACAGAATTGACTAATAATAGGACAGATTTAGAAGTACATAACTAATTGACTATATATTTAGGGCTAATATGAGAATAATGATTACACTATTTTTGATAATTGTCGGTATTTGTGACAGCAGCAGAAAGCGAAATGTTCTTTTCACATTGTGAAACTTCTGTGCAACTCTGCATTAAGCCAATGTTACTTGGGATCTAAGGAGCATTGCATTTGATAGGCAAAGATCTGCAGAAGCGCTAGCATAAACAATTGGAGATCTCATTCATACGTTACTTCGTGATAAAGTTGAGACCTGACATCATAATCAAGAGAATAAGAGTTCAAATTCCATTGTGGCAATTTGAAAATATTGAATTTAGTAAAAATCTAGAAGTCATATATTAATTTCAACAAAAATGATTAGAGACTGTTGGATTGCCATAAAAAGCCAACAGATTAATGGAAGTAACACAGGAACTGGAGGAACACAGCAGGCCAGGCAGCATCAGAGGAGCAGGAAAGCTGACATTTCGGGTCGGGACCCTTCTTCAGAGAAAAAAAAAATTAATGGAAGTCCTATAATTACTATCTGGCCTCACTTGTATTTAATTCCAGTCCTACCCCATTGTAACTGAGTTAGAATAATACAAGGGCTAAAATGGTTAAATTGTATACATTGTATTAATTTGAATATAGAATATTGAAAAATGTTTCATCCAAGGTATTTAAAATGAATGAAGGGTGGTTAGTTAGCCGGAAAGAAACGCTTTGCTTTGGGACGGTTCTGAACAAGGAAGTATAACCTTAAATTTAGAGCTAAACTATTGATGGTAAATGATGTTAGAGAGTATTTTTGGAATTCTCTCCCACAATTAAATATAAAAGTTAGGTCAGTTGAAACTTTCAAAAGTGAGATTGATTGGTTTCTGTTCAGCAAAGTTATTCAGCATAAGAGAACCCAGAGGGTAGGTGGAATTAGATTGCATTTGAGCCATGATCTAATTTATGAAAAGAGCAGACTCTAGCTTCTGTTGTCTATTACTATTTCTATTGTTTGTCTTCCAAAGCCACCTAACATGGTATTCATTTGTATCAAACAAAAAAAGACTAGGAATGAAACTCACATCCTGAATTTTATTTTTAAAAGAAGTCTAACCTTCCTTTCTTTTAGCATTGGCACATCCACTGGATTTTTCTATGTCAGCCAGTAGCATAAGTTCATTTGAAATTTAGATGTGAAGAGTACCTGCAACTGGTTTAAAAAATAGTGATAACTGGCTGAAATTCTAATATTATCTGAAATAACTTAATTTTGTATTGTATAGTTTAAATATTGAATAGCCACATAGCTGATGCATGTATCCTGTGACTATAATAAATTTTCAATATGAATATATAACTATATATCAACCTATTTTCATTTCAGTAATGCAGTATGGAAAGGGCAAGTCCTGCCACTATAGATTTCTTACGAAAGGGCAACAGTGGATGTGGCTTCAGACTCACTATTATATTACTTATCATCAGTGGAACTCCAGGCCAGAATTCATTGTCTGTACGCATACTGTTGTAAGGTAAAATAAGTTCTGATACATGTAGCCTAGTTCAGCACATATTTTCATTCTTATTTGTAATCACATCTGCCAGTTAAAATCTGTGCCGCACTAATTACTTCAAACATTTAGCCAATTAAGTTTTAAGACCCATGTAAAATGTTTACCAAAGAGGAAGAAATGTCCGTTGAGAGCCCTTGAGGGAAGCAGCTCCCATTTTTCTTGACAGAAAATGATCCTGTTATTTTTATTTTTTGTAATGTGTTAGAAAGTTCCACAAAAGTGTCACCTTCCATTATACAAGTGTTGAGCAACACATCATTATATATTCTGTATGTGAATCTCCAGAGATTATGCAGCCTTAAAAATTGGAGGTTTGAAGTTCTTCTGAGTCTCCAAGAGTTATATATTCATGTTTTAATGATCTCCGCCAGAAAGACATGCACTTAAGCAGTGCCTTTCACGACCACTGAATGATGGCTTAAACTGCTATTTCTGACAAATGAAGTAATTTGAAGTCTAGATACTATTGTAACGTAGGAAACACAACTGGCAATTTGTTCACAGTAAACTGCTACAAACTACAAAATGATAATAACTAAATAATTTGTTTCTAAAAATGTTGTTTGAGAGAATAAGTATTAGCAAGACACCAAGAGTTACATCCCTGCTCTCTGTCAAATGAGATCTTTTGCATCTACTTGAGAGGACAAATATTTAATGTCTCATCTGAACTATGACACCTCTGACATGCATTGTGCCCTGCACTGCTGTATCAGCCTTGATTTTTATCCTGAAGTGCTAGAACTGAACGTGAATTCACCCTGGCAGATATTCCACCAAAGCATTTGCATTTCTATTGTTTGACATAATTTCTCACAACAGGCAGCTCTTAAACCAATTAAATGCCATGACTCCTGCTTTACACATACTCCATAATGTTTCCTATAAATAATTATACAGTTTTACTTCATGCCAAGGATTCACTATATATTTGCATAAGGAAACCACAGAAGCAGTATGTCACTAACAAAATGGCAGTTCTGCTAATGGTATTTATAAATATGACTGAGAAAGAAGCAGTAACTCTGTGGTTATGTTCTTTGCATAGATTCTCACCTGCCATCGGTGTTTAGTGTCTGCCTGTCTTAGATCAGTCAAAAAAAAGGCTACAATTATGGCATGTAGCTGACAATGGGAAAATTGCCCATTTATGCCCTGTGCACAAAGAGCAGGAGAGACCCATCCCAGTCAATTATTGCCCTGTAAAGCTCTTCTCAGTTATCACAAAGTAATATATGGTTGACACTACTGGCACTTAGTCACCAGTAACTGGTTTACTGATGCTGAGATAAAATAAAAGTACTGCAGATGCTAGAGATCAGAAATAGAAACATGAAGAGTCACATTAGTCTCAAAATGTTATCTGTGTTTCTCTACGCCGATGCTACCAACTGGCTGAGTTTCTGCAGCACTTCCAATTTTTAACATTGATACTTGGATTTGGTTCTGCCAGGGCCACTTGTCTGTAGGCGTCGTTAAATCTTGACCCAAACGTGGACCAAAAAGCTGACTTTGAGGTGAGGTGGGAGTTACTGCCATTGACATCAAGGCAGCATGTGACCGAGTTGATATTAAGCACCCGTAGTAGAATTGAAGTCAATGAGAATTCAGTATGTAGTGGGCGAAAGCTCTCTGGTTAAAATCAAAGCTAGCACAAAAGAAGTCAGTTGTTATGGGCTAATGACCTCAACCCCAGAATGTCGCTGTAGGAGTTCCCCAGGCTGTGTCCTAGAACCAACCATGATCACCAACTTCTTTAATGAGATTGTAGACTTGTTCACCAAGCCGATGAGTTTGATTGTAGACGTTTCGTCACCCTGCTAGGTAACGTTGTCAGTGCGTCTCCGATGAAATTTTGGTGTTCTGTCTCGCTCGTTATTTATATGCCTCTGAGGAAGGATCACCAGACTCGACGACACGTTAAATCTGTTTTCTCCTTCACAGATGCTGCCAGACCTGCTGAGCTTTTCCAGCAACTTTGTTCTTGTTCCTGATTTACAGCATCCGCAGTTCTTTTGGATTTTATTTATATGCCTCGATTTGCCGGGGTGGTTGGCATCACTTCCAGTTTTGTTTTTCAGTGGTTTGTATATTGGGTCCAGTTCACTGTGTTTGTTGATGGAGTTCTGGTTGGAATGCCAGGCTTCCAGGAATTCCCTGACATGTCTCTGTTTGGCTTGTGCTATTATGGATGTGTTGTCCCAGTTGAATTCGTGTCCTTCGTTGTCCGTGTATACTGAGAGCAGTGAGAACTGGTCGTGTCTCTTGGTGGCTAGTTGGTGTTCGTGTATCCTTATCGTCAGTTTTCTGTCAGAAGCTAATATGAGTCAATGATCATCTTCAATGAGAAAATCCACCCATCTCCTTTCAATGATGTTATCATTGTTAAATGCTCCACCGTTGACATCATGGGTGTCACCATGGACTAAAAACTTAACTGGAGCAGGTCAGACACTGGCAGTTCTATGCAGAGTAACTCACCTCCTGACACACTCCTGTCTTTTAACCATATGCCGGATACAAGTCAGAATTGTGATGGACTACTCCCCAGTTGCCTCGAGCAGTAACAGGTTCAGCAATATTTCCAAACCCAAATGGGTTCCAGGGCAAAACAACTACTTGATTCACACCCAAACACTACTTTAAACATTTACTCCCTCCACCATAGGCATGCTGTGGCTTAAATTGTACCATCAGAAAGGTGCACTGCAGCTACTCGCCAAGGTTCCTTCAGTAGCACCTTCCAAATCCACCATCCCTACCACCCTGAGGAGCAGTACAGCAGCAACAAATTCCACTTTGTCATGTATCACAATGACTTAGAACTATATTGCTGTTCCATCACGTTTGCTGGATCAAAATCCTAGATCTCTCCAGAACAGTACTGTGGATGTAGCTACACGGCATGAATTGCAGCAGATCAAGAATAGGTCATCAGCACTTTATTTAGGGCAATTAGGATAGACAATAATACCCATATCCCATGAATAGAAAATGATCATGATTGAACAAATCTAGGAAAGAAGATTATAACATTGCCAAAGATCAAATTCTGTTTGCAATAGGAGATTTTCTTAAAAATTATAAGAATACAGACATTGAGAAGTCATGGAATAAAAACATACTGATCCATCTAACATCCCTGACATAGTTGGGATGTATTATTGCAACATAAACAGATTCTCCTAAACCTCCCAGGCCATGGACATATTTTAAAAGAACAGGACCACTAGTGGGAAAATAACATGGAAATTCATCTCACACCCATTTAAGTGATTGAAACTAGTTCATGAAGATCACATTCAGCCTACAATGACCTACTGTAGATAACTTCTAAACTTAAAAGCAATCATTAAGCTAACTTAGGGAAGTACCACAAAGGCAGTGTGCATTAAAGTTGACGTAAAATGTGGATATTATGACATTGTTGCAAATTCTCATATGTCATGCAGCTACGCAGAAGTGCGTGCAGAGAGAAGAAGGGAGCTTGGCATAGAAGAGTCTCCACCAGATATTATTGCTGACAAGGTAAAGTACAGTAATGTATACGGAGTAAATAGTGGACGCTCAGTTGTCTAATTTAAGGCAGGAATGCACACCATTGATTTTACAAACCTAAGACCAGTAATTCTTCTACCCATATGACAAATCACCATTTGTAGCAGAAATGACAGTGTGGCAAAAAGGTGATCATTCCACCAATTAAAGAACAATAGGCATATGTTACTTGACATACAATGATAAAATAAGTTTTAAAAAGTACGTATTCTAAGAAAATATGCATATTATCATATATCTGTTCTGAGGAAGGGTCACCGGACCTGAAACATTAACTCTGTTTATTCCTTCACAGATGCTGCCAGACATGCTGAGCTTTTCCAGCAACTTTGTTTTTGTTCCTGATTTACAGCATCCACAGCTCTTTTAGTTTTTATCATATATCAAGTTTGTTTCACACTACTTTGAATATGTTTGGAAAATCTGGTGGTCAGATTTAGGGTATGAAGAAGCACAAATGCTAAGGTGCAAAGTGTACATTTATAAACCTTAGACCTGGGAATTCAGTGGTCTTGCACCAGTTTTGGGGGAAGGATAAAGGTGGAGTGGTGTCCACTCTCATTCATTATTGGAAGTGTAAAACTAAAAATCAAATTAGGTTGCTCTCTGGTATCCAGGGTTCATACTTTGTACCTGACTTGCTATGTGCTAAACTCATCCATGAACTCATGATGCTAACAAGAAACAAGGAACTCAAGATCACTGTTCAAAGGTCTCAGACACTGCATACACTTTAGTTAGGGGGTCAGTTAACTCAGCTGGCTGGATGGCTGGTTTGCAACGCAGAGCGATGCCAACAGCTGACGAAATATTAGCTTGGGAGCAAGGGGCTTTATTGAAATGGTAAGCAATTGAAAGATCAGGTCATTCTTATGAACAGAGCGGAGGTCATCTAGTCTGTGTATGCTGTCGCCGCTGTAAAGGAGACCATATCGTGAGTAGCCAGTATAGTAGACCAGATTGACAAAAGTACAAGTAAAACAAGGCTTCACCTGAAAGGTGTTTGGGGCCTAGGACAATGAAGAGGTGAATGGGGTAGTGTTACACCTGCAATTGCATGGGAAGGTGCCACGGCAAAATGATGAAGTTTTGTGTAATGGAGCAGAGGATCAGTGTGTCACAGAAGGAACGGTTCCTGTGTAATACTGACAGTGAAGAGGAGCTGCAAATGAGTTTAGGTGATCCTGTTGGAGGAGGCAGAAATAGCCAAGGATAGCCCTTTGAATGCAGAGACTAGTGGGTGAAAAGTAAAGACAGAGGGAATATTAACATTGTTCTGGGAAAGAGGGGAAGGAATGAGGGCAGAAGTGTGAGAAATGGCTCAGATATGCCGAGAGCCTGTCAACCACAGCAAACGGAGTCCTCAGTTTAGGGCAATGGGCACACGGAAACACCGTCACTTCTGAATTTCCTTCCAAGACACACACAATCTCAACTTCACCATACTTTACCCTTTCTTCTTTATCATTGGATTAAACTCTTGGATCATTTTACCTACCTTACCATGCGAACCCTTTACCACTTGGAACTTTGAAAATAAGGCATCCAAGGATGGTCAATAGATGTCTGCTTTGCCAGCACAACCAAAAGCTATAAAACCCAACAAGCAGTTTAAATGGTGTGAAATAACTGGATCAACAAAGGAAGCAAATAAAAGGGACATGACATATAGTGACCAATTTCAAAATTTGACCAGAGGGGAAGAATTCTAATAGTTCTTACTAAATGTTGATTGGGCACATCAATTTTTGCCAACAGACCTGTAACGAAATGAGTCTCACTTCATTGATGATCAGGAGAATACATTGAAAACTACAATATAAGACTGCAGCAAATGTTTTCCTCTGTCTAGTAAATTGCTCTCCTCGTTTTATTTAAGTGATGCTGGAGTAAAATAGGTAAGATATACTGAATCCCCAATAATCAACGTGCTTGGGTTTACAGTTGATCTGAAACATAACTGGATTAGTCATATGAATTCTTTGGATTATAAGAGCAAGTCAAAGACTGGAATTCTGAGGTGGATAACTTACCGTGACTGCTCAGAGCCTCTAAAATCAGAAAGGCATATCAGGAGTGTGATGGAAAATTCTCCACCTGCTTGGATGAGTGCAGTTCCAATGATCAAGAAGCTTGAGACCATCTAGGACAAAGTATCCTCACAAACTTCAATATTGATTCTTGCCATCACTGCACAGTGGGAGGTACCACTGCAACATTGAGTTTTTATGCTAAGTGCTTGGAGAGAGAACTTTCTTTATCAAGTTCAAATTTATGATTATTGACATTAGAGAACAAGTGTTTTTTTTTTCTTGCTATTTCCCTACCTTTTGCCACCAGGATTCAAGATTTGATACTAAGCCAGATGCGGTCAGTGTCAAGGAGGCACTGGAAAGATTTGATCACAGCCATACACCATCTGCTTCCTCGAGGAGTTCAAAGAAGTCGTCTTCACATACAGCAGTGTCTGATCCGGCATGTAAGTTTCAGGAATAATATGCATACATTTTATGGGATAATTATTATCGCTGACAAATTATTGATAACTGATTAATTTAATAAAACTCCAAAGTAGTTTCTGACAGTTCATTTGTATAATATTTCTCACTGAGCACATAAACATTAGTGATACAATCGCTCGATCAATCTGTATAATGTACATGTAATTTTTTTTGTTTTTTTGTGGAAATAAAAAAAAAGAACTGTTTTAAAACCGGACTTTATAAGGGTTGTGACATGATTTGAAAGCAAGTATACTCATTATGAACACTGTTTGTACAGCTATGGGTTATAGCAGTGTTCTGATGAACCAAAGCTGAATGTTGTGTACAAATGCAGGTTTGGATGGCAACAAGTAGCGCACTGTAACAAAGGTCTTCTGCCTGCCAACAATTATATGATTGGTTCACTAGTAATGGAACAGCATGGGACTGTGAACAAGTTACAGAGAAGCCTTAAACCACTACCAGCTCAGGAGCACACTCTGTTCTCGGCAGTAAACCACTTTAAACCTAAAGAAAATCAGCTTATTTTTCATTCAGTATTACTGTAAGCCTTGACTTCTAATCAGCAATGCAAAGACTTTAGATCAGTGAACGAGCCACCCTATAATCTCTTACAAAGCAGTGGAAGGACCTGAGAAAGAGCAACTGAGAAGCAGTATTGTGACCAGCACAAGAATCATCTCAATAACTGTTGTGGACGTGAACTACTTATCTGCTTTCTTTTCTTCCACTGTCCATAACCCATGTTTGTTTCCTGTGAGTGTATGTGTAAGGGTGAATTTAAGGGTATTTGAGTTTAAATTTGTAGAGTTGTATTCTGACAGCTCATAACTGTTTACCAGTGTAATTGAAGTCAGGAATGTGATGAAATACTCCCCAGTTACCTGGATGAGTACAACTCCAACAGCACTTGAGAATTTTGTTAAATATTTGTATAATGTTAGTTATCGGCCTATTTTCTGGCTCAACAGCCATAGTTCCCAAATTATTAATGCGACTGCTATCTCTTCCCCTAATTCTTTCTTTCAGAAGGTATCAACATAATTCAGCGTTTATTCTCTTTAAGTTTGATTAGTTTATTTAATATTTTTATTTTAATCACATATCACATTTCTAATCTTATTCATGATCGTATATAACTGAAGCAAAGTAATTATTTAATATTGTTTCCATTTCTTTATTGTTGCATATGATAGTAAACTGTCTATAATTAACTCCTTATTCCCATCCTGACTTTATTTGTGTGCCTGTTAAACATTTTACTATTTAAGTTTTGGACCTTGATTTAATTTCATAAGTTCCTTTATATCTTCCTTTATTAAAAATATTCTTCTGATTTCTTTATATTCTTTATTTAGAAGCACTTTCTGCTTTCTGTGTATCTCACTAATTTTGTTTCTGATTTACAGCATCTGCAATTCTTTCGGTTTTTATTCACTAATATGTCTGTCTCTTCAATCTCAATTTTTCCATATCACTTTATCCAAAGTGTCTGATTAGTGTTTTGTCATGCCCATTAAAGACACATCATGTTCATAACTGTTAAAATGCAAAACTTATTCAATGAGAAGTCAGGTGACCTCATCTGTGTGTTCAAGGAAGTAACTCTTTGACTCGAAGACAAACAAACGGGCATAAAAGTTTTCAGGTCCTGACCTGAAACGTCAACTTCCCTGCTCCTCTGATGCTGCCTGGTCTGCTGTGTTCCTCCAGCTCCATGGTGTGTTGTCTCCGACTCCAGCATCTGCAGTTCTTGCTATCTCCAGGCGTAAAAGTTTAACTACTCATCTCTTGAAAACCAGTAGATTGTTGATAAAATAATAAAAGGTCTATTGTCTACCAACAAGCTAACCAATGATCTAGTCATTGGAAATATAACGGAAGTGGATTGTGGGTTGGACCTTGAAGAACCATATTTAGTAATGACAGAAGAAAGCTGTGTTGACCATGTGACAGCAACCATCTTCCAGAGGCAGTTTAATAAGGCACGCTTTAGAGGAAATAGGAGCAGCAGTAATATTTGTACTAGGAAAGGATCTGAAGTCTGGAACATCATTAGGTATTCAACCCAATACAATTTTGGATGCATCAAAATAGATACATGACCCCAAATGATAATGAGACCACAGAAGTTGACCGTGTTTCTAACAAAAAGTTTGTCACTTTAGGAAAAACCTGCAAACAACTTCTGCATATTACTTTGACCATTGAACCTGCATCCGAATCATACCTCAGTGCTAAAGAAAATATTCCTAAATCCTGTAACATTAGTTTCCAAAACCAGGCAGCAACATGATTTGTTAACTGTAAAAGTGGACTATTCTCTCCAATTGTACTTTCCTGACATGTGTTTGTATGTGTGCTTGTAAAGAGTGAGTGCAGTAGCATTCAGTGTTTAAACATTCCTGTTCATCTTGTAAACCCACAAAGCCTGCTGCTGGTTACTCAAATTGTCTAAATTTTCTGGGGTTGAAGGATGAATGCCATTTTAAATGTTTCACACTACTGTTTTACATGATGGTTTGCCAATAACTTTATCTGTTCTATTTTTTCAAATTCTACTCTCAACCCCTCAATCATTTTTTCTTCCAGTGTTTTACCTTACTGTTTTATCAAACTTAGATTCTTCTCAATTATTTTCTTAAAAGTGTATAATATTAGGATCTTAATACATTGATATTCCCCTATTTTCATGTCTTTTACCTGATTTTCCTATTTCTTCATTGTTTATTAGATCCAGTGCCAAATGTTTCCTTAACCACATTATCTTATCCCGCTTTACTGACCTCATAGCGAATTAATATCAGACTTGTTGAAATATTCCATGATAATTCTGAGTTTCTCTACTTATTTCTGCAATTTACAATGGACAATGACTGCATTATTGCACAGGCAACTTAACTCTTTTAATTATTGTTCCTCTTTCTTTACTTCTGACCATCTTTTATAATCCTCTTCCATAGTTGTATTTGTACCCCTGCCTCACTTTTTGTTTACTCTTTCCAGTGCACTGCTATTTTTGTTTATAGTTGAGCTGATTTTTTTTCCTGTATATCCCTTCCCTGTCTTACTAGTTGAAGCCTCTGCTGCCTCCCTATTTACCTTTTCTCTATAAAATAATTGTCAATACATTTAAAAATGACAATTTGTCATGTTTAAAATGCTTGGGGACAGCTTAAGAATGGTGTCATATATGTAAAAATCATTTCTTGTTTTCAGTCAAACTTGGGAACCACTCAGGGCTAGAAGAGTTAAACTGTGAGGAAAGTTTCATAGACTAGGCTTGTATTTTCATAAATAAAGAAGAATTAAGAGGTTATCTAGTTGAGGAATTAAAAGGGCAAAATAAAAGTGAAACTATTTCCTGTGATAGCAGGTTCTGAAACAAGGTGCTCAATATTAGAGAGAGGCTATTCAGTAGTAAAGCCAGGAATTACAGCATCCTCGCACAAATATTAATGGAAATCTAAATCACAAAAAAAACTTTTGAGGCTATGTTGAACAAATTTAAAACTGCATTATATAGATTTTTGTTAATTAGGACAATTATGGAGCAAGAGTTGATAAATAGAATTTCAGGTACAGATGAGCCATGACTTTATTAAATAGGTTATTTTCCCTATGTTCTCACTTCATTAACACCTTTCCATCTCTGCATATAGGCTGGGGTCATGACACTATCCTTTATCTCCCATGTAAGTGATAGTCCAGCTGCTAATATCTTTGACAACAAAGAAACTACAAAAAGACAAAATCCATTGATTTCTTTTTCTCGATGAAAGTGATAAGAAAATGATTTGTAGTCAATATCCTTCATCAGGATTCATACCCAAAATGTTAATTCTCCTGCTTCTCTGATGCTGCCTGACCTGCTGTGTTCCTCCAGCTGCACACTGTATTGACTCTGACTCCAGCATCTGCAGTTCTTGCTATCTCCGAGAAAATGATTGTAATTGTGTTTCTTTGATATGCTTTACTCATGAGTACTAATTTTTGAACCATTAAATCATTCTACTTGTTTCTTCTTTTTTGATTCTGAATGTTTTTAATTTTCTCATTTTAACAGCAACACCTACAAAACGACTTACTGACACAAACACTCCTCCACTACCGAAAGTAATGTATGGTCATGAAAGAACCCCCCAGAGAAGGGCATCACTGAGCAGCCAGGTGAGATTGGAAGTTTTTTTTTAAACAAAACATTTCTTTCTTGATGGACCAGTAGGAGGATTTTTAAAGAGCCCCGTAAGTCTGTTTTTTTTCTAAAATATCGCTATTATATGGTTGATTTTCTTCACTTGCTTATGGCCTGTTTCACTAGATTTTTAAATCAGGCACATTTCTAAAAGACAAAACTGGATGTTGTAAGATGAATCCTCACCACAGCTCAACAAATCTGAAAGGAAATGGGGCATATTTAAAATATTTTTAAAAATTGGCTGTTGTGACTTGAATGCTGTGATTTAAGTTCTAAAATAAGTGGGATGGCCAGTCTAGGAGATTCCCAGTGGTTGATTTGAGGAGAGTGCCTGATGTTGCAAAGTTATGCGGCTGTTTCAAGTCCTTTTGAGCTAAGAGGAGCAGAAACCTGAACAGGTAATCCTTAAGATCCTGACAACACAAAACGTCTTGGTAAACAAAATCAGATGTGTGATGTTGCTGATGAAAGCTTTTCTCTCTCTCTCAGACCAGTGCATGCAGTGGCATCAAACTGTGAGCATGACTTACAATCTTAAATTGGTTGTCAGCATAATGCTTCTCACACTCAGAATTATCCAGCAAATGTTGTTCAATTACAGAATACCATTTAATGATGAACAGTGTACAGGTGTTTCACACTATAGAAAATCGCCATGGGAAATCGCTATATAAAATTGCTATACCTGTATAATAGAAAGTTTGCGTTATCCAAATGGCATCCACTATTCGTCAACTGCATTACAGCCAATTTGTGTTATTGAAACACGCGTTATAGCAGAAATACCCTGTATAGCAAGTTTTGAAAGAACAGGATGGATGCACACAGTCTTTGGGACCTGGACCTTCATACCTGGCATCACACCAGCAATGTAATTCATATACTGTTGGTATATCAAACAGCATATCCCTTCAGGTGTCATTCTAATTAGAGTCAACCAGCTGAATGTAAAATTTAAACAAGTTAACTGTAGGTCAGCATTAATGAGTGCAATCTCTATGACCATGCTTCTACCAATCAGAGCCCACTTCAGTCAGCACTGTACAGTCTTGCAGGATAGTTGTTAGTTTTCCCAAGAATTGGTATTCTTGGGACATGTCCTGTTGAGTGAAAGAAACTTCCACAAAATATGCCTCTTTTCATCACTGGTGGAATGGAAATGTAGGACTACTGCTGTTCTTTTTTTTTTTTTAGTTTCCTACATAGCCTACTCTCAAGCATAAGTTGATTTTTAAATCTGTCCTTTGAAGCTCCTCTAGGGTCTATGATTAAACTGGCCATGAAAAGAGTGAAAATGCTGAAGTGAAATGATTGATATAGTTCAAATCATAATGAATATAATGTTCTTCTGCTTCACTGTTTGCACTAAGCCACCTAGAAGGTTCTGAAATGTATGTAGCTGTTGATTATATCAAGTATGTTTACTGTAAGTACTTACAAACTTATAACCTCAATTACTTGAATTAGAGTGCATATAAATGTTATATTGTGTTGCAGTTCTCAGTACAGCTAGGGGCTATGCAGCACCTAAAGGAGCAGTTGGAACAGAGGACACAGATGTTGGAAGCAAATATTCAGCGTCAGCAAGAAGAACTTCGAAAAATCCAAGAGCAGCTTCACCTTGTCCAAGGACAGGGAGTTCAGGTAGATCAAACAGAACAGATGATAATTAAGCAGAACTTTTTATGGCAATGTTAGGGTCACTAATCCCAATATATCATAACTTGATGCTAAAATAATGGGCATTTAAATAATTCCTGTACCTCGGTGTGAGGCTTTTTTTTTCTTTTATGTGATGGACAGCATTGGTAAGACCAACATTTGGTCCATCCCTAGTTGTACTGAATGACTGATAGACATCTTCAGGGGATACTTAAGAGTGGACCACATTAATATGCACTAGGAGTCATGTGTACGCCAAACCAGGTAAGGATAACAGATTCCTAAAGAACAAATTACAGACAATTGGGTTTTTACTATAATTAACAACTGTTTGATAGTCACTATTACTGAGATTAGTTTTCAATTTCATAATTATTAATTGAATTTAAATTTCACCAGTTGCTATGATGTGATTTGAACCTGATTCTCCAGGGCATTAGTGATATTACCTCTACTCCACTATGTCCTCTTCTTGACCTTCCATTGCACCTGCTATGCTGAAGTTGGGAGTTTTGACAACTTGGACTCCCATATGCACAAAGTACTTTTTCAGTTCATGGCTCAACTGTACGTTCTGGTTTTAGAATCTGAATAGTGACAGTTAGGTGTGTTGTTGGTCCACAGAGAGTGCAACACCAAGCCTGATCTTTTTCATCATGGTTCAACCTTAACATAGCTAGCAGTGTCACTGAGGTGTAGTAAGGGGTAGGAAAGAACCTTGGTTAAGTTTTACAACTTGAAGAAAGCTTGCCTGATAACACTCCTGAAAAATGGATTAGTACATCTCCATTTTGTGTTCTTGCTTCAAAAATGAACTTCACATTTTGCCACATTATACTCCATTTGTCAACGGTTTACCCATTTACTTAATCTATCAATATCTTTTTGGAAACTGTTCATATCCCTCTCATAACTTGCCTTTCTACCTATTTTTGTGTCATCTGCAAATTTGGCTACACTGCATTTGCTTCCTTCCTCCAAGTCATGAATGTATATTGTAAACCATTACAGTCCCAGCATTCATCCCTGTGGAACCCCACTGGTTACAGGTTACTCACTTGTAAAAGTTTTGTGAAACAGTTGTTGCAAAACTTGTAAACCACAATCTACAAAATGAAGTGGAAGAACTCCTGAACTGAGGCAGTCTCGAATGTTTTAACTTTGAACTAAGTAAGCATTTGCAGAGCAGAGGCTTCCTTTACCCTAGGTAGTTGTAGTTGTGAGAAGTTGGATAAATAACTTAGATCACATTCAGCAAGGAAGTTGATTGTGTAGAATACTAATGAACATTTTAATCCTGTAACATAGACTGAAGCATATGGGTATGAATTGTACATATTTTTCAATCAAATTTTTTGGAAGGGTTCTTGCCAGAAGGCCTTGCAGGTTTTCTTGTCCTTTTTTACCAAACCTACCTCATTATTTACCTCTGGTACCCTGCCACATGCTATCTTTCACATCAATTTCCACCTTATTTATCATAGAATCCCTCCAGTGGCCCAACAGGTCCATACTGACCCTCCGAAGAGCATCCCACCCAGTCCCATCCTCCTACTCTATCCCTGCATTTTGTATGGCTAACCCATCTAACCTGCACATCCCTAAACACTATGGGCAATTTAGCATGGCCAATCCACCTAACTTTCACATCTTTGGACTGTGGAAGCAAACCGGAGTACCAAGCGGAAACCCATGCAGACACAGGGAGAATGTGCAAACTCCACACAGACAGCCGCCTGAGGGTGGACTTGAACCTGGGTCCCTGGTACTGTGAGGCAGCAGTGCTAACCATTGAGCCACTGTGCTGCCCTGCAAATACTTACGAGAGTTCCCTTCTCCATCACATCTACAGATCTGACTTAACAGTTTCTATCAATTCCTGGCTTTGATAGCCTTTTCATAAGACTGTGCCACTCTCTATCTGCTGACTGGTGAGTTGTCAAGTCACTTAAAGACTGAAGTCTCTTGCACGTGCACCATCTTTAAATCCATAGGCACTGGCATTCCAAAGCTGCTTAATTAAGGATGTGTGCACAAGATGTCAGAGAAAGAGAAGATGTTATTGCATTTCTCTGATAAGGTCTTTGAGGTCCTGGTGAATGGGAACCAGCTGTTGTAGACATCAACTGCATTTCCACACCATTCAATATGACACTTGGTGGATAATGATCTGCAAGCCTATTGTACTATCTGCATTCAGGAGGAGTAATGTGTGCACATTACATTGGGTCCTGGTGAAACCTTTGACTGTCCTTGTTCAACATCCCTAATGTTTGGCGCTCTCTGAGCAAAATTGTAAATGCCAAAGAGTCCAGTGAATATGCCAGGGAGGTGCAACATACCGAGAGGTTCAATGTTGCAGGATGGTTAGGGAGTAGGCACACTGCTTGCCTCTTTGCTCGATCTTTCATGGGCTTGAGATAAATGTTATTTCCCTTTAAGAGCCCTTTGACGGATGTGTGCTGTGACCCTCTCCCTTACCGATCAAGTCAGTTATCCTTCTCACTACGTCATTTTCTTTCTATTGCACACTTACAAGTTCCAACACAATATAAGGTGACAATGCTCCTTTTTTTCCAGTGGCACCTGTCTATATGCATCTTTACTTGTCTACCCTTCCCACCCAGACTGGTGTGATCATTCACTAGAGCCCTCCTTGAAACCAACGTGATAGCCCCAAACCCTGCATTACACCCTTCCCAACAATGCTTTTTAGTATGTCACCCCAATCCTTACTCCCCACCCCACCAGAAAATCTTCTGCCCCCTATTCACAATTGAACTATACTTTGCACAAAGCCTGGAGCCTCTAGTCCCAATGATTAATTTGCTGAGGGTCATTGTCTCATTTGCTGTGGCTGGATTTGCCCCTCATCCCACCCCACCATTCTCCCTTAGTTTCTGTGGATGGATCCGACATGCTGAGCACCATCTGGACCGACTTGAGCGGATGTGCAAGATGTGCCCAGGCCTCTCTTGGGTGTCTATAAATCTCCTCGATCCCATTAAACTTCTCCCCCAGACTTGCTGCTACAAGCAATGAACTGACCATGGCCCACTTGGAACTGTGGATCCGGACAGGTCTCCTGATTGAGAGAAACCCACCCCCCCCCACCCCAATTTAGATGGAAATCAGAGGGAATATTCTCCATGTTTGTTAATGATTGTACAATTTACAATGTTCAGCACCATTCATGACTTCTCCGATACTGATGCAGTGTGTACAAATGTAACAAAACCTAGACAACATTCAGGCTTGGTCTGAAAAGTGACAAGTAACATTTGTGCTACACAAGTACCCAGCAGTTCGTCATCGGCAATTACACATTAGTGAGTATGAGTTTCCACCTAGGAAATTCTGTGTTGCTGGTCAAAATACCATCTTCAACAAAAAATAATCCAACAAGCTCCCATGACATTCAGTGGCATTACCAGTGCTGAAACCCTGGCTATCAACATCCTGGGAGGCACTGTTGACCAGAAACTGAACTGGACCAGTCAATAAAAGAGCATGGCAACAAGAACAGTTCAAAACATGGGAAATCTGCAGCAAGTAACTTACCATCTATCTCCCTAAAACCTGTCCACTATCTACAAGGCATAGTCAGTGATGGAACACTGGAATAGTCTTGGTGAATTCAATGGGAACAGAGCTGCCTAGCATCCTGCAGCCAAAATAAAAACAACTTATCACAATTTGTTGTTTTCTGCTCGCAAGAATATTTTAATCTAATTTTACACTGACTCTCCTATTCCGTAAGCCTCAATTTTACTCATCAACATTTATGTGCTACTAGTTAAACATTTCCTTAAAATTCATAAACAATATCTACTTCATTCCCTTCATCAGCCTTTTCTGTTCATCAAAATTTTAATTGTATTAAGTATTAGCTGTTTTTAATTGAACCTGCTGGCAATCCTTAATAACAGAAGTTGTTTGAGTGCCTGTTAATATTCTTCCATGATTATGGTTTCATATCCTTAGCTGTCACTGATGTTGAGCTCGTAAGTTGTTGCTAGGACACTTTTTGCATCCTTTCTAGTGAGGGGATGTTGCATTTATCACCCTGAAATCCTCTGGCACACCCTACATATCTAGGAAAAATTAGAAGATTGTGGCAATCCCTTACTTTCCTCTTCATTTCCCCTCATGGTTTTGACATGGTTATTGCTTGAAGAATTTGCCTGATATTCACCTTTTTTTTGTTTCATTGAATTTTCTACGTTCCCCCTTCATCCAAGGGGTACAGGTTTTGTTTGCCATGCCATTTACTGTGCCTTCAGTCTGTATCTGAAGCATCTCTTCCTAACCAGGATCATCAATTGTTCTGTTTAGATTCTTTTCCGGTCAGTCATTGGTTCTATCTTGCCTGCTAGAATTAGAATTAGAATCCCTACAGTGTGGAAACAGGCCCTTCGGCCCAACAAGTCCACACCGAACCTCAGAGCATCCCACCCAGATCCATCCCCCTATGACCCACCTAATATACACCCTCTACCTCCCTGAACACTACGGGCAATTTAGCATGGCCAATCCGCCTAACCTGCACATCTTTGGACTGTGGGAGGAAACCGGAGCACCCGGAGGAAACCCACGCAGACACGGGGAGAATGTGCAAACTCCACACAGACAGTCGCCCGAGGCTGGAATCAAACCCAGGTCCCTGGCGCTGTGAGGCAGCAGTGCTAACCACTGTGCCACCGTGTCGCCCGATCCCTTCTTATACAGTTGAAATTAGCCCTCTTCCAATTTAGACATTCTACTTTAAATTGTATCATAAATAAAAAGCTAGTAATGTAGGAGAACAATGATTACTCTGACAATAATGTTCCTTAGAGATACTTGGTCCACTTGCCCCAACTCATTTCCCAGCACCACATCTAGTAGAGTCATAGAGTAATACAGCATGGAAACAGGCCCATTGGCCCAAACTGGTCCATGCTGACCTTGGTGCCCACTCAGCTAATTCCAACTGCCCGCAT